TTTAATTTGAAGAATTAAATCTTTTAACTTTCAAACTTGTCTCTTCATTGAACTGAAACACAGACCCACGGATATTATCGACAGTTTATCGATGAAAACACCTTTGAGTCTTCTTAAAACTATAAAATTTGGTTATTAATTTATTGAAATTAATATCTCAAATTAATATGTAGAATGGTTCCTCTTTCATAAAAGAGCCTAAACCATTACTCTACATTAATTGGCAGAGCCTACCCAGGTTCACTACAAAACTCTGGGAACTGGTGATGGTTGTAGCCCTTGTGCAGCAGTACTGGGACCAGAGTTAATAGGGTGTGTATGGGTAGTGTGAGTGGGTGTTTGGCGTTCATTTTGTAAGTCTTAGGTTGTATGTGTATGTGTGAGCATGAGGGAGTGGGTGTGTGACTGTATATGTCAGGTGGGGTCTTGGACTCCTCCCCCCCCCCCCCCCCCCTCCTGGGAATTCTTGTGCTACTACACATCTTCATCTACCCTCCCTCCGCCACATTTGGTGTGGAGTGTGGTACCTTGGTCTGCCTGAGTGTTCGTGGTTCCTGGGTCAGGGGGTGTAAGATTTTTGGAGTCTGCCTGATCAATCCCGGTGGCTGCCTGGTGGGATCTGAGTCCCTGGGCTCTGTTGGGTCCCCGGCGGGGCTGGTCACCCCTGGGTCCCAGGTTGCTGGGTTCCGGGCTCGGCCAGCTTGTGGGTGGTAGGCTGCGGGCGGGCCTGCGGGCGGGCCTGTGGGCTTGCCGCTGATACCTCCCGGGACTCTGCCGGCGGCTGGTTGTGACCCCCGCGGCAATCCTCTGTGCCTCTCGAGAGGGGGCTGGGTCTTTTCTGGTTGCAGTCTCTCTGGGGTCCCTGTGCTCTGGGGCAGCTCTTGGATCTCTGGGACTTGGAGCTCCCTCCATCTCCTACACATCTTTGGGGGCAGATCTGTGGACCCTCACACTCTCTATTGGACTCTCCTATAGAGAAATCTTACATATACAAGCGAGTGTACGCACACAGGTGCTCACATGGTGCTCTCATAAGTATGAACTTGGGTGCTCTTATAAATATGGACTTTGGCATTTTCAGCACGTCTTAAGGCTGTGGTTGGCACTAAATGCACTGCGATTTATTACTGTGTGATTGTTCAGTAAAACAATGCTGATTTTATATTTCCTCATCAGGTTGATGCAGTGATAGCTTGCTCTAGTTGTATTCTTGTGTGTACCCTTCTTTTTTGTTTGTTTGTTTTTCTCTTTCTGCAGGTCTAGAAATAGACTCTTGTTCATCATTGATTGTTTATTTTTGTGGAACCCCCCTTCCTTTTGTTTCTTCCTTTCTCTTTCACCTCTGTCAATGCCTTAAATAAATAAAGTTTGAAGTATCAGGCGTGACATTAAAGCAGAAGCTTTGATGTCACTCCTGAGAGTAAATCTGTAGGGCTTGTCACCAGCGTTCAGACATTAATTCTGTTTGCTTCACAGCCAGACAGGACAGGGGAAAAAAAATTAAAAAACTAAAAGATTTTTTTCCTAAAAGACTACGACTAAAACGGCTGCCAAAAACAATGCTGTGTTCAGCTTTGTTAATGTGTTGGTTATCCATTTTCATTGTCTTTAGTTCCTCTTGTAAACAGAGTGATAAGGGTTTGTTGTTACCTTTTCTGACATGTTTCGATGTTCACTGCCCCCTTCGTCAGCTGGTGTTCAGCTACTACATAAAATATTGCTTATATGTAAAACTGACAGAAATGTTGGCTAAGATTGGATGAGTTATGGAAACTCACCTTGAATGGAGTTCACCACAAATGTTAATCAATTGTGGATTGAGGAAATCAGAGAAGTCTACCTCAAGCAACCAGCGGATTGGGGCATGGTAAAACTTGGTCATGGGGAATGATTCTTGCTTTGTGTGCAAGAGGTCTCGTGTGCAAATCCCGGACAAGCCCCCAATTACCTCTGCTCATTTTGTTGGGCCATAACAAACAAAGAATAAAACAAAGAGATGCTAACTGAACACAAACATTGCAGCACGCCTGTGGGGAGTGTAGAGACACATACTCCAGGTCCTCAGGTGTTCTGCCTTTCCTCAATCAGCCAGGTGTTTGAGGTAGACTGCCCACAGGGTTGTTACAGGATGGATGTCTTATTATTATTTTCTGAAAGTGCCATTAATGCCATTTAGCTGATCTTGAGATATTTTACAAAAAGACAAACGGGGTTCACTTTTGGAGTTAATGGCCACGTTTTAAAGCGGTCCTAAAATTTAAAACCACATTTATCTTGTTATTGAATAAAGGCAGCTTGGGATGTACCACAAGGTCTGAGCTGTATCCAACCTGGTTTTCCTATGTAAATTAGTAAAGTGCAAGTGTCACAGCAAAATGGTTTTATATGAGAACAGCTGGTTCAACACATCATAAGCATAGACACACACCCTCATTATTCCATTTTCCAGCCCGCTTCAATGTCAGTAATAAAGGTTGATCACGGTAATGATAACCTACAGAACAATGCTCCTTCTAAGACATCTTTCAGCCAAAAAGATTTTGACATTATGCATTGCAGCCTGTAAAAGTGACAATGATGCAACCGTTGTAGATCTGTCCGATGGTTCATCAGATATTGTGCTAACACACACACACACACACACACACACACACACACACACAGAGACAAAACATGATCACTTAACTCATATTTGGGCAAACAGATTTGAGCTTCCCTGATTGAATCTCAAGGATTCACATCAAGCCAGAAATATTTTGAGCAGCGCTCTACTCCAACCTCTAGTTCAGAGGTCTCTGATGTTGAGTCAGGCACATGGAGAATGATCCTGTTCTGTGAAAGAAGATAATTAAATTGCATGAGTACATGCTGGGTCACAGGTCTCCATATTGTATCCAGTGGTCATGTTCACTGCTTCAAAGATATTTCTGTGGAATCCTTTTTATTTTTTCTGTGTTTTGTTTTGAAATTCTGAGCCGTCGAACTCACGCGCGCGGGCTGCTTTTTAGCCACGACTTTGAAGGCAGCAGGCAGAAAGCAGGGCCTCTGATCTATTTCCCCAAAGAGTTCTCATCTCTCTGCAGACGTGAGCATGGCTGAAGCTCAGGTATCGAGCCACTCTGAGCAGAACAGCAGTAATGAAATTAAACTGATGCTTTGACCTGAGCATTGAAAGATCCACACAAACACATCGCCATGACATTCTCTGTGTCATTTTCTACTGACGGGTGACTTGCTGACCTTGAAAGAAGTGATTTACATAGATCACCCGCTTGCTGCACATGTTATCAGTGAATCTCTGGACTATAAAAACATAAAATGGATGTGTTAATAATCATGCATATTTAAAATTATTTGAAATATTTATGCGATTGTAGAATGGAGATGTACAAAAACAACTCAGTGGTTAGTTAAGACATCTATTTCAACCAGTGGAATAATGTATTCATGTCTACATGAAGGATCTTTGTTCCTGTCAGTCGCTAAACACCCACCTGGCATTTATTGCTTTTAATCATTTGACATGGTAAATGCATCTGAGCTCGACTTTTCACATGACAATCAACTGATAGAGTGGGTTTATGTAGGTGGCCTTGATTTCTCTTTGATGACAGATTTATTTGCCACATGCTTTGCTTGAAAAATGTACGTTCTTAGGACTGCAAGGAAGAAATCAGCAATTATCGAGGACGTTTGCTTGACTCCAACATAGCATACTGTAGTCTGAAAAGCAGTCATTTATTCTACGACAGTTTTCAGAAGCACATTTGTAATTTTTCCAAATGATTTGAATTAGTCTTTTACTCAGTTGTCTTGCATTTATCGAGATAAATCCATTCGTGTATCTAGCTAATTCTTCAAAACATAGATCACTCACTGTTTCAAGGATGGTGGTGAATTCAGTGTGTGTGTGGGGGGTTGGGTTGGGATTTGAACTGTGGACCTTCTTGCTGCAAGGCAACCTAGCCCAACCCTAATTACTGCACCACTGTGCAGCCTCACCATGTTTATTCTTAGAAATTAAAAAAGCATAGAAGGCATCTGATGTGTCTTGTACACAGATTTTTTAAAGAGCTGTTTTTATTCAGACTCAGTATTTCTGAGTCATGTTCTGCAAGTCAGTGCATTTTGTTAAAATACATAAAGTGGACTGCATAAAATATGTGTGAACCTTGGGTGGTGAATAGATGAGCGTGCTGGCTGCAACACCAGCTGTTGCCATTTGTCATGACGAGGGTCTTTTTCATGAAAATCACCTACTGTGAACCTTTAGTTTAGATTAATCCATCCATCCATTTTCTGAACCTGCTTGTCCACGTGGGGTCGCGGGGGGTGGGGGTGGGGGGTGGGGGGGGGGGGGGGGGTCCAGTGGTCAATGGGCAGGGCAATCAGGCGGGGTACACCCTGGACAGAGAGCCACTTCATCGCAGGGCAACACAGAGACACACAGGACGAACAATCACACCTAAGGACAATTTGGACAGACCAATTAACCTAACACTCATGTTTTTGGACTGTGGGAGGAAGCCGGAGTACCTGGAGAGAATCCACGCATGCACAGGGAGAACATGCAAACTCCATGCTGAAAGATCCCAGGCCGGGAAGCGAACCCAGGACCTTCTCGCTGCAAGGCAACAGCTCTAACCACTGCTCCACTGCGCAGCCCGTTTAGATGAATCATTAAGTAGAAATTAAAAGCAAAAACATCGAAAAATAACAGTTTGTAACAAATTTACAAGAAAAGAGTCGGCTTCTTTTTGTGTTTGTTTAGTTATACGGCTGGCCAGATCACAAACAGAATCCCTAAACAACTGGGTGGAGATTTACTCTGAAGCTGAAACGTGGATAGCTGTTTCTTTACATTCCTCATTAAATCATCCTGCAGGCCTCCTGCAAAGATAACAGAGAGTCAGATCCTGGATGTGATTCCTCAGAAATGCATTTAAAAAACTAAGTCTACCTCTAATAAATATTCTCTTTGCATGCTTATTTGTTGGTAGATCTTGGTGCTTTCAGTACGAGAGCCCGCGGTGAAGTTTCTGTGCGTGAAGGCCAGGGCGTAGTGCTGATGTGCACGCCTCCACCCCATTCGCCAGGTAAGTCATTTTTTAAGGGCTTAAACCAGAGAAAACTGCTTTAATACATCCATTTGATTTGACATTTTTGAAAGTGCTGTTTTTGTGAAATGCAGGGTTCAATGATTTTGCAAAAGTATCTCGGTATGTTCTTTGTTCATCCTGATGTATCCATCACACATTGTAGAAATTGTCAAAATCAGTAAAATAAGAAGGATTTTGAAGTTCACCTGCATGTGATGGGTTAGGAAATTTGACAAAGGTTTTGAATCATTTATTTGAAGGTACATAATTATGTGTCTTCTCCAAATCCGAGATTATGATCTTGAGATGGAAAAGGGTAGAATGCCTTCTCCGGGTCAGGGATGAGGTCCTGCCTCTCGGGTCTTGTTCATGAGTGAGGGAAAGATGGAGCGTGAGATCGATAGGTGTATTGGTGCTGCGTCTGCAGTGATGTGGGCGTTGTACCAGTTTGTGTCGCGTGCCCGTCCCATTTACCGGTTCCTTTAAAACCCAGTTCCGTTAGAACTTATGAGACGGTGCATCCATCAGGGTTCGGGGGGATGTCGGCGAGTATAATTGTACTAGATCCTGGATTGGACCATCTAATTAGAATCTTGTCTTTTATTTTAAAGGTGAAATGACTTGCACGAATAGCCAGCCCCAGAGTACTACACTTCTTTTAAACTCGTTACCTTTTGGTTAAGATACTAGAGAGAAGTCTGGAGGCAAGCCAAGCCTCTCAGCAATTGTTTGGGTTACCCGGAATTAATTGCGCCTCTAACAGCTTATGTGGGAGGTTGGTAACTATAAAATGATTTATGCTAGTTGATCAGGCTATCATAAGTTTATCAATTTATTTATTAATCCAACCTTCCAGCTGATTAGAGACTTTTTCAACCTGCAATCAGAGCCAAAATAACCTCGAATATTTTGCTTTTATTGCCCTTAAGACAACTCGTTACTCGCAAGGAGGGGGAAGTTAAAACTTCCGTTATCTTAAGGTTTCTTTATATTATTCTATTATAAACTGCAAAGTAAGTCCCGATAATTCAGAGACCGATCACCGATATGCTTACCTCTGTGCAATTTATGGCCAGGGCTCCAAACGTGAAGCTTTAGAGAAAACCTGAAAGAATCAGGATTATGTTTCTTTTTCAAAAAAGGTTTATTACAAAATCAACATACAAAAATGGGTAAAGTGAAAAACAACTGCTATCCCCCACGGAGGAATTAGTTCAAAATGATTAAATAAGAGTTAGTTTACACTAGCTCTTGTCTTCTCAGAATCTCCCCAAGAACTCTCTTCTTGGAATCCCCCAAGAGTCTCTTCTGTCATCCCCCATCCAGGTTTGGACGGGGGATGACCCCTCCAAATCTGCTCTGTCTCTTCTTGTCGCCTGCCCCAGCTCTCTCTCTCTGCTGTTCAGAGCTGTTCTTATATACCCTTCCTGGGCCAGCTTAAGGTCATGGGGTCATTTACCAGATACACACTTTGTAGCTCAACACAAAACATTTGGTGTCATTTTCACTACATGCAGCATTCTTCTTAACACAGGTCATTACATCATCTTTTGCAGCATTCTTCAGTTTCTCTCCAATGTTCCCGAGAGGGCTTCTGGATCTGATGGGCTTGTCTTCACTCTGTTCTCCTCCAATCCCATCTTTCCAAGCCAGGGGTGGGGCAAAGAGGTTGGGTCAGTCTCCTGACCCTTGTGTGACCCTTGTTTCTGACCACAGTTTTTTGACCTGCAGCACAGCTCCTGTCGGCTGGCTGATTTTGCTCGCACAAGCCAGTCCAGTGTGGCTCACCTTTTGACCCCGTACTTGCCACTGTCTTTGGCATGTGGGGACTCGCAACATTTGTTGTGGTGAAGAGAGCTGAACCTGGGAGGCAAAGCTGTCGATTTACAAGTGCATCTATGTGCTAACCATAATCTACGGTCATGAGCTCTAAGTGACCACAAGAATGAGATCATGATACAAGCAAGAGGTGCCAGTTGAGGTGCCTCAGGCATCCAGTTAGGATGCATCCTGGACGCCTCGCTGGTGAGGTTTTCTGGGCACGTCCAATCGAAAGAAGACCTAAAGGAAGACCTAGGACAGGCCTCTCTGCTTAGGCAGCTGTCCCACGACCTGACCCAGGACAAGTGGAAGAAAAGGGGTGGATGAATGGACGATTGACAAAATTATACTATAGCAGACCTTTTTATACAAACCCTTTCATGCATAGGAAGGGAGTATTTTTGCACCTTAAAACTATTCCCACCCAAAGGTAGTGTACCATGTTAAAAATAATGTTATTGGTGTTTTTCTCAAATGTTAAATAAATGCCATTGACCACCTGAGTGTACAGGCAGGAGGTAGAACGAGTTGCATAGTGATCAGAGGATTGTGGGATCGATCCCAGCTCCTGCCAGGGTATTCTGCTATTGTGCCCTTTGGCAAGACACTAGGCCTGACTTGTTTTTGTTGGTGGTGGTTGGAGCGGCTGATGGCAGCCTCGCCTCTGTCAGGCCACCCCATGGTGCAAATCTGATAAATTTCTCATCATACACACATGATTTTCATACTTGAGCTGTGATTGACATTTAACAGGAATCAAAACACCAGGACACAATATTGTAAAGTGATAGCAACATGAAAGAAGTATACATTTCCTGTCATCTGTAGTTTGTTGTTGTCGTTCTGCTATAAACTAGAATTGATTCTGGTTTCAGTCATTACAACAAAGCTCAGTTACATCGCTGGCATCATGTTGGATACGATACAAAAACACTTAGCAGTTCAAATGTCCAACTAGGAACATAAAATTTTGAATTTAGTCATTCCTCTTACTCTCTGAACTTTAGATTTATTTTTATCTGCATTTATACAAACCACACATTCCTGCTAAAATGTTGTTTTGTAGGAATATTTGATGCTTCAGCACTAATGTACTTTTTCCACTGAAGACCTACAGCCAATCAGGACCCAGAATGGGTTTCACTGTAAAAAACAATGCATGTAATATTGCACATTTAAAAAAAAATTATCCACAAAAAGTAAACTGCACTATAGAAAGGGACTAGTGTAGCGTCAATGCACAACAAATCGTCTCAGAGCACTTTAAAAAACAGACATTCAGTTGAACCTTCTTATCAGTGCACTGAGTTCAGGTTATTTTGCCACTTAGATGAAGTTTCCTCTGTAAGGAAACCCAGCAGATTGCATTGAGTCACGGACTTTACATCAATCCTTCATACCAAACAATCAGAAAACAAGAAAATCGCTTTAAAATCTATAAAAAGTAAAAGTAAAAAAAAAATGTACAAAAGTATCCACTCATCTGCTAAAAGATTGATAAAACATGACGGTCTTCAGTTTTATTTGGTCTTTTTGATTCTATCAATTAAATGTCAACATTTGCTTTTCACTGAGGTTTTAAATGATTTTGATTTCAAATGCTTATTTAATATCAACCTGGAGCCGTTTAACTGGTAACTGTAACACTGATTAGCATTTAATCTTTCTGCCTGATGACATATTAATGGGGTTTTTGTCAGATTTATTTTATTTTTTTCATTCGGTCTTAACGAGTTTAGCTTGTGGCCATTTAGCCATGTAGACAGTGAACATGTCAGATAAGACAAGAGAAGAAGATGCTTCACTAATTATTAACCAACCTTTTCCAGGAAGTCAGTCATAAACCACCCACTAGAATTCAGCGAGGCTGACAAGTGAGTTTGGTACCAACTGTCTAAAAGCTCCAGACATGAGTCAACCAGTGTGATTTTTATTATTTCTACATCATTTCAACACAAAATAAAACTTTAACAAACTCAAGGAGGACAGTAAAAACAGAAATGGGTTTCCTCTTTTGTTCTTGAGTATGTGTTTCTTTTTTATTTTACAGAAATTATCTACAGTTGGGTATTTAATGAGTTTCCCTCATTTGTTGCTGAGGACAGTCGGCGTTTCATCTCGCAGGTCACAGGGAACCTGTACATCTCTAAAGTGCAGCCGTCAGATGTTGGGAGCTACATCTGTCTGGTGAAGAACTCCGTGACAAACTTGAGAGTCCTGAGTCCTCCAACTCCTCTGACTCTTAAAACCGATGGTGAGGATTTTTCTCGTACTATCACTGAGTTATCTCTCAGCTTATCTGATCTGACTGTGTGAAAGTTTTTGGCATCTTTTAAATGTTAATGTATATAAAACACACATTTTGCATTGTTTTGTGCTGCCCTGCGGGTCTCCACTGCCTCTATAAACACTCCAAACTAAAAATAAATTCACCCATCTGTTTTCTGTTAGTGTGTGATGAGTCTAGCATGAGCCGTTTCAAATAGCCCCGATTGTGGCATCACAAACGGGGAAATTAAAATAGAACCACCTCTCATGTGCAAGCTGGTGAGGCAGCGGCTTTACTTAGAGCCTCTTCAAGATATTGGAGCTTCTCAGCTTACAGCAGCCTGAGAGGTAAATGGATGGGTGTGGCCAGCTCCAGCTTGTTTTCCTAAATTGACAGAGCTCTGAAACTACTCATTATAGAAGGTACAGTTGAGAATAAAACTGCTGAAATTGCTTTATTTGAGAGGGGTTTTTGTTCAGGGACCTTCATGAACATGCTTTTTGTCAGCCATAGAGCTAATGTAGCTTAAGAACCCAAGTCATTAAAGTCTCTTTTAAAGATTTAGCACTCTTGCTGATTTGTTTTAGCTGTGAATATAGAAAACTTGATTTTATATAAATTTAGAAAATCTCCCAGATCAGATCCGTTACTGAGACCTGGTCGGCTGATTTCATGTTTCAAGGTGTTCTGAAAACCATGCACACTGTAAATAGATGGCGAGCAATGCTTTAATGTTAGTGTGGGGAGTCTTTGCTCACAATGTGCTTTCGTAAAACTGGCCATCGGGGAAATCATGTTCCTGCATAAAATTAACCAAATCAATGGCTCTTGCTGCGGATGGGGCCTTGGTCTTTTATTTTTGCCTCTCAGGAGTCACGCTGCCAAGCTGCTTGTTGGATTCAGGGGTGAATATCACCCACAGGCATGTTACCTCTGGCTTTACTAAGAAGTGTCCATTACATTACACGGGCGTCTGTCATTGAGAAGGTATCCAAAATTCACTGTGACTATATACTCAGTGAAGCTGTGAAAAGAGCCTTTGTGATGTGAATAGCTTTTTCTCTCCTAATGTTGCAGCAGGATAACATTCCTTCCAGCAAGTTTGTTGCTCTGTAATTGCATAACGCTGTTTGAAGTTGCCCTGTGAGACGCGTATAATGCTTTGCACATAATCATGCTAAATTAGTTTGTGTCTCGCACTAAACGAGAAGCAGAAAACATTCGGAAGGGCATGTGGTCAGTCTTCTGTCAGCGCTTTACCACGCGGTTGCTTTTTTAAACATTGATTAAAGGAAGTGAAATTAATTTAGCTGCATCAGCGAAGTATGTTGGTATGATAAACTCATCTGTTCATATCTACGGATTGTTTACAGTTTTTGAAAGGCAAACATGTAATCTGCTTCTGAATCGTGTTTAGTCATTGAAATGAAATACTCACATAGATGAATAATTGACATTTTGTCGTTTACTTCATTTAAATTGATAAAAGATGATTCATTTAAAGATAAAAGGGCACATCTGCAAAACAAGCTAGATTAAAACATTATTTTCATGCCTCTTACAACAATCTAACAAAGTAAACAGTGTTTCTTCTAGAAGTTTTTCTAGCCGTGGCGCGGGGTGTTTCGCTTCCATGCGTTTCCTGGAAACTCGTAGGCGTGGAGCTGGAAATAGCGCCGCGCCTGAGAAAATGTAGGGGAAACACTTAACAATTATTTTGTGGAGATTAAAAAGAAAGTAGTAAGTTGTTCTCTCGCATTTGTCTGAAAATCTCAAGAAATAGTACGTAAGTTAGTACATTTTATTTATATAGAACTCATCACAGACAGAAATTCACTAAGTGCTTCACACAGATCAAAACTAATAAAAACACCATAAAATCATAATGACAAAAACAAAGTCATAGCTATAAACATTTCATAAAACAACTGAAAGATGATAACAAATAATACAAAAACCAACAACGGTTCGAAACCAGTTGTCGTTCTCACCAAAACCACTGCACTTCCGCACTTTCCGCGCTTCCTCCACTCATTACACAATCGCATATTTAGCAACAAAACACCACTGGTGGGAGAGGTTCTCTGCTCAATAATATCAGAGGACAAATAGCCGGCTGCTACCACTTCAGCTTTAGGACAAACTACCAGAGTCCCAAAAAGAAAAACACCATTTAAAGTCACAGGCAACAAAAGACTAGCCTGAACTTCCAGACTCGTCCTCTGTTTAAATTCTGCACAGAGAACTAGTCTGGTTACTCACAGCCAGAGAGGCACTATGAGGGGCGGGACTAGCCAGCTCAAAAATAACCAACCAGAAAAAAACATGGAAATGCCGACTGTACCACGAGACACTGTCGTTTTTTTAGCTGTAGTCAAAAATGGCGTCTGGCAACGGCACAAACTTCTTTTTTTTAGAAGAAAGGCTTTTAGCGCTTCTACTTGTTGTGGTTTTAAAGACATTCAAGTCATTTAGAGCAGAGGAAAGAACCGCAGCGAACTCCACCGCTGTCTTCATTGTTTATGAGAAACTGAGCGTTGCTGTGTGAGACGTCCGCAATGCTGTAGTTTTTTAACTGTAGTCAAAAATGGTGTCTGGCGACAGCGCGAGCATCTTTCTTTAGAAGAAAGGCTTTTAGCCCTTCTACTTGTTGTTGTTTTAAATACATGTCCAAGTCATTTAGAAAAGAGGAAAGAGCCACAGCAAACTCCCATTCAGTTGCCATGCTTATGACAAACTCGGCATTATGGTGTGTGACGTGTGCTACTCAGCGCTGATTGGCTCGGTTAGAATTCTCAGGGGGTGGGGTTATTTGTATAGGAGAGTTCCCAGACCCTTTCTCTGTGCAGAATTAAACAGAGGAGTCTGGCAGGCCAGGCTAACAAAAGACGTTTAGACCTAGAAAACTACGACTGGTGTTTAGCACAAATTTGTTTCCTCTTGAATTGTAAATTGTAAATGATAAATGGTAAATGCCCTGTATTTGTATAGCGCCTTCTTAGGGTTCTACGACCCCCAAGGTGCTTCACAACACAATCAGTCATTCACCCATTCACACACACATGCATACGCTGGTTACGATGTAACCACTGGCGCCACCAGTCCCTCCGACCACCACCAGCAGGCAAGGCGGGTTAAGTGTCTTGCCCATGGACACAACAGCAGAATTCTCTGGTGGGAGCTGGGATCGAACCTGCAACCTTTCGATTACTGGATAACCCACTCTACCTCCTGAGCTACTGCTGTCCCAATTATCTGTGTCCGGTACCGGCAGAATTCAATTCAATTCAAGTTTATTTACATAGCACCAAATTACGACAAGAGTCGTCTCAAGGCACTTCACATAGTAAACATTCCAATACAGGTCAGTTCATTAAGCCAATCAGAAAAAAGTTTCCTATATAAGGAACCCAGCAAATTGCATCAAGTCACTGACTGGTGTCAGTTAAGCCTGATTCATGCTTCTGTGTCTGCGTCAGTGCGGAGACACTCAACGCCATCATCCGTTCCTGTGGGCCTGCTGGAGAGCCTCGCAAGGACGGACGGAGTCGAGCTCTCTTTTCTAAACATCCGCCCGTCGAGACGGAGAACGCAAGCTTGTGATTGGTCTGGGCACCGCTGACGTCTGCACCTCCGTTATTGCGCCCTCAAAAGCATAAAGAGAGCCGAGAATAACTAGCAGCAGACATGGAGAAGCTTGAAGAATACCTCATGAAAAAACTCTAAATATATGAACATTTAATTCCCCCGTGACTGGAGGAGTGAAAAGATGCACAGCAGACGTTTTGTTTGTGGACGGAAATGACAGGAAACGAGGGTTTAGAGGTGGCGAGCCCATGAAGAGGTGTAGGAGAATAAGAGACAAATTTGTCTGTGTTAAAAAGTCTCTTATATGCCAAAAACACAATATAAACACACTATCTTGGATCGGATACATGACAGGATACCACACAACAGCGCTATGCCCTCTGTTGTCCTGGCGGGGAATTGCTTTGCAACACTCTCCAGGAAACGGAGAAGTATGGCTGCTAAACATCTCCGTCCGTGCGTGCGTGTCTCTCCCTGTTGGAGCTGACAGAGAAGCATGAATCAGGCTTTACAGCAATCCTCATACTAAGCAAGCATTTAGCGACAGTGGAGAGGAAAACTCCCTTTTAACAGGAAGACACCTCCAGAGGATCCTGGCTCAGGATAAGCAGCCATCCGCCACAACTCACTGGGGATCGAGAAGACAGAGCAGACACACGCATACACTAACACCAGCCCACCCACACACACACACAACATATGCACCAAGTAATGTTTCTATGGTTACATTGTGATTTCTAAGTAAATATTCTATTTGGTGAGAGACAAACTTTACTGTATTTATCCTAGTGAATCTATAATTAAATGGGTAAACTAGTAGTAGCACGTTCAATGTCAAGAAAGAAAAATTTTATTAGGAGAAGAAGAATGTTTAAGTGATTAGCAGCAGTGTGCTAGACGATTGCCCCCTCCATGAGGCCACCACAGCTCAGCAGAACATCATTTTAGCTTCTTCTGGGGAGAAAAACACTTAGAGAAAAAATAAAGTTAACAGCTGAAATAGCAGGAAATAATACAGTTAAAGAGCAGATTGTAGAACAAAGTAGTAGAGTGTGGAACGTGGCCACGATGTCCTCCAGCAGTCTAAGCCTATAGCAGCACAACTACAGCGATAACTCTGGATAACCTAGCCTTTTAGATGGAGGCATGTTGGCAACAGGGCAAGGGAGAGTCGTCTTTACCGACTGTACACTCCACCTCCCTCTACTCCCCCACTTGTCCAGATCTGGGCTAACATCAGATTTTAACCATAGGCCCTATCAAATAAAAATGTTTTAAGCCTAGTCTAAAAAGTAGACAAGCTGTCTGTCTCAAGGACTAAAGCTGGGAGCTGGTTCCACAGGAGCACCCCAGAAAAGATACCCAAGGGGAGGGTGAGTTGTCCGTGACCGTGCTGG